ATTTGTTCATTCATTTCTTCCTTCATTTCTTCCTTCATTTGCTCATTCATTTGCTCATTCATTTGCTCATTCATTTGCTCATTCATTCTTTCATTCATTTGTTCATTTTTTAATCATTTGATTACCAGTGTTTGCCCATAGTTCTCCCTCCCTCCTTAACTATCCTTCCTTTTTTAGTCTAAGTCCTTTACAACTACTTAATCATAGAAACCAATTGTTTAATTTAAAGCATTTGTACATGTTTATGACTTTCATTTAAAGGCACTACCCCATTGGTGTTCTGTTCGATCTGTATGGTTCATCGGCATCGTTACCATGGAATCTAACAGTACACTTCCAGGTAATATTTTTAATAATGTACACATATTTATATTTGGCTTTTTTTAAATTTGTGTGAAAAGTAAACTCGATGATAATGATCTCCAGGTCCCTTCAGTTACATGAAAGTGAAGCATTTAAGAATTGCAATTTTTAAAATTCCTTTGTGGTTTACCCATTGACATGTACATTAAGGATCACATTTCTCCAGTTCAATGAGAAACTTTGGCTTGATAAACCTTTCTTGGTCTATAATAGAGAATGTTTTCCCTGCTAGCAGAGCCTCTCTTCTCTTTCTCTCCCTTCTTTCAGGGGGGGAGGAAGGAGACTCTGCCGATGTAGAGCATTTCCTTTGATACACCGCTGTCCACGAACAAAACCAGTTTTAAAACCGTTTTTTAACCAGTTACATGTAGTGCGCATGAGCAAATGTAACACACCGTGGCGCCAAACATTGTTTGACGAGAGTGGCTGTCAAAATCGTGACGGCATTGCTAAGTTACTCCACGCCTGTGCGACAGAAATAACGTCTTACATCAGCAGAGTCTATTTTTCTCTCAACCAAAACAAAAGAAAAATAGGGTCTGCTAGTAGTTAAGATAATGTTTTTCCGGGTAATGAAATAATTTCTTTTCATAACCCTCAAAAAAGCCCTCTAGCCTATGGATTAGTGAATCCTAATTTCCACCAGCCTGGAGTAAATATTTGATACTCCCAGACTAGTGGACTAGTATTATTGTTGAGTAATGACAGCAGTGAGAGACAGGTGTAGCAGCTGTGTGTCTCCAACATTAACACTAATGTCCTTATGTTTTATTTTTATTAGAAATTTCCAGAGGAAGAGTTGATGAGATGTCCAGGAAAGGAGGCTGTGGAATCACATTTTATGTCTGCAATTAAGGAGGTAGTACACTGTCACATTAGTTACCATGGCAACACACTTGGGAAAAGTTACAGCACTGCATGGATTCAGTCTTGTTATGCTTCATCCTATTTTTTTAATCTATTTTATTTTATTCATTTGAGTGTTCCAATATCATTGTCCTGTTTATATAGGTTGTCATAGCAACTGTAAGCATGTGTATAGACCACTGTTTTCATATTACTGTGAAATGCTGTATGCGTGTCTTGCTATGACCATTTTTTTCTCTCTAGAGTTTTAATTGCCTGATATGTTTCTCACAAAATGTCTGGCAGTGGTGTGACTGTGTCCATTCAATGTCCATGCTATGTTTCGTGTATTTGATTCTATTCTCTACTTTCACATCCCCATAATAATACATTGCGTCTTTGGGTGTAACCAGAGGGTAAAAACCCACTTATTGAAAATACCTTGTTTGGTATCCAAAAATAAAATGAAGAAGTAAAAACCAGAAAAATATAGAAGCTTGAAGATGTTTAAGGTAAATTTTTTTCGTAAGTCAATACATTTTCTGTAAGACCAAAACTCTTGATGATCTGTACGCGCAAAAATAACTTGGAATAAACTGATAATCAGTATTGTATAGATAAAAGCAGGTATAGTATAAATTCAATTAAGAAACCTTTCAATTTGGGACAGTTTTTTGATTGGTTACCCCCCAAAGATGCAAGGCATTATGGGGATGTGAAAGTAGAGAATGAAGAGTTTTCTTAGGACTATGTTATTGGTCTAGCATATGCCTTGCAATGTCAAGGCAAGTTTGTGCCGCAAGTTTAACAGTCATACAAAAGCTGTTTATTTTTTATAGTTGTAACTTTTTCTCATTGCTTAATGTAATATTCAGGCAGACAGTCTAAAACACAGATCGCAGGTGATCAATTCCATGCAGAAGAAAGACCACAAGCAGATCTGGCTTGGCTTGTGTAATGGTGAGTCATACAAGCAAAAATATTCCTAACTTATTTCTATCTCTTGAGAATAAGATTTGTCTGTCAATTGTATCCATATTCGTGTGTCTTCTCATGTACAACCATTAAACAAAGAAATAATGAAATGATGGTCTGAAGTGGGAAAAAAAAAGATTCCCAAGCTAAAAGTTTCTATATGTGTAGAATGAGAAAGTTGACTACATTTTGTTGTAATTTGATAGATAAATTCGAACAGTTCTGGGCTGTTAATCGCAGGCTGATGGAGCGATCGGCTGAGGATCCATTTTTCAAACACATCCCCTTCAGAATATACCAGGTACTGTGGCCTTCAAAACCTTCAAATGTTATAAATGCCCTGAAATAACCTCTGAGCTAATTAGATAATTCACGGCATAGCAAACTTTCAGATTAAATTGGAATTTCTCATTTCAGGCAGATAAACCTTTTCGACAGAACTTATTCAAGCCTGTTACAGATAATGGTGAGTCCAGTTTGCTTGATGAAGCTCATTTAATTTTTTCTCCAGGGATCAGAGAAGGCAAAAGTTTTCAATATCACAACATATGCATTAAGTTTAAGTATGCGACAGGGAAGGTCTTATTAGAATACATTGTAGGAAGCACAGGTGGCATAGCAGTGACAGCACTTGCCTTTTACCAGTGCAACCCAGGTTCTAGTCCCGCAGAGCTTGGTGTGGTATGTGATTAGAGTTCCTCGTTGGTTCTCTCCCTTGCTTTTTCTCCGGGTTCTCCGCATTCCCAAGAGAGTCATATGACAAGGACATGGTGGCCATCTTGGTGGTATTAACAATGGATGCTAGAGTGCTCACACTAAATCCGTGAAACAAATACTAATTTTTAGCACTAAATAGTGATAATTAAACAATAGAAAACAAAGGATTCTGTATGAAATATTACTAATTAGTACTATTTAATGTTCACGGTTTTAGTGCGTGCACTCTAGTGAGAAATCTTTTGTTAAATACCACCAACATGGCAGCAATGGCATAACATACAAACAAAGAAATATCCAAGGAACCAAAAATTTTAGAACTAGATATACTTCTAACTTTCTTTCTTTCACTTATTCCTTCAAGGCGAACAGCTATTGTTATCTGACCTGTTAAGATCCTGCGTCCCAAACCTCATGTCTAGTGACGGCACTGACCTGAACAGTGATTGGCGTGTGGTAATACACGGCATAGAACCACCTCTAGAGACACCCACCCAGTGGTTGAGCGAACATCTCAGCTACCCAGACAATTTCCTGCATATTATTATTGTGTCTAATGCTTGAGAGAAAACTTTACGTTATAGAATTAGTAATTACGCTTACTTGCAAGAACGTTGTCATACGATATTAGAACATTAGTAATTTAGTGAGAAAGGAATACATTAAAAGACAAAAGAAAAAGTTAAGCTTCAATGATCTTATTTTGTTTTTTAATATAATTCCTATCCCACTAAATCACTATGTTCTATTTTCTAACGTTCTTGCAAGTAGGCTAACAATTAGACCCCTTGCTGGAATGTTCTACAGGTCAATATTCCATGAGAGCAAAGGCAAAATGGATTTTTCAATTGTAGATCATGAGGGCAAGAGGTCTAATGGCTTTAGTATAAACCTACTAATCGGTCAAATAAATGAATACAATCAAGTTGAAATAATTGATTTTGGCATCATAGCAATATGCTAGTTTTCGCTACTTGTATATCACTAATAGACGACTGACGCTCAGCCAATCAGAGCGCAAGATCTGTAATAGACCATTAGTAAGTTTATACTAATAAGAACTAGGTTTAGGGCTAAGGTTAAACAACAGATTTCTTAAATATAAAGCACCTCAGGAGTCATTAACTATATTACTATACAACTGTTGTTGTCATACCAAACCCATTTCGGACTAAAATAAAAAAAAAAGCTAAGCGCACCGATCAAATGTGCTTGAATGTGACGCTACAGATAAATATATATACATTCTAGTGAACACAGCTGTCACATGAGAAAGGCGAGACCTATTTTAGAGTGTACTGCTGAATGTCTTCAACTAAAGGCAAATCCAAGCATTTTTTAAAAATAATTGTATGGTTTTGAAGCTGAAAAAGGTTAGATTATTTTGGCATGTCTCAGTTTCTGCTCTTTTCCTATAGAAGTACCCCTTTCCAAAACTAGGAAAGACCCTTCAACTCCCCCCTGGATATGCTTATGAATTGTGTTATGAATATAGTTATTGTAAATAATAAATTTCCAGGTTTTTTTTATAAACAAAGAATTTTTAAAATTTTTCATGATATATGAGTAAATTGAGCCACATTAAAAGCGACGAATGTAGAACGCATGCGTTTCTATCCTGTATGAACTGAGAGATGTAGAGCATTGAAGTGCCAGTCCTCGACTCAAATGTCAAATATTTTACAATGAATAGGTCACAAGAGAAAAACGTTTGCGTTTGAGTGAGAAAATAAATGTTCGTTTTCTCCGAGTATACAAAAAATTTTGCGAGTAAACTTTTGTGAGACCAAGATGTATCAATTCTTCGATTGCACGTTACGTCATCGCGGCCATGTTGGTACCATTTAACAAAAGATTTCTTATTACCCTCCTCCCTCTCTCTCTCTCTCTCGCCCCCAAGCCCCACACGGCCTCTGGCACCCAGGGTATTATTACCATCCATTGTTAACGGTACCACAATGGCCGCCATGCGTTTTGTCTTTTAACTCTCTCGGGAATACTTGCAACTATCGATTGAAGTTTCATGGATTCATTGACACTAAGTTTTTGCACGCCAATATTTCACAATAGCATTAGGTTTCAACTAATTTACATACGGACTGTTCCGAAATTATACCGGGAAAACGTACTGACAACTTTTGCGTCACTTGATTTCATCGGATAATGAGCAATTCATTATGGGATTTTTTTCATCCCAGTAGATTTCGTCCGATATTGGCACGCGACCGATTTTTTTAGGTCAAAATCGTTACGATTTATTGAAGAATGCTTTAAGCTTGGCCTGATCTTAAACCTCGGCAATAGAAACATAAAATACTTCTTTAGTTAAATATAATGCTGTCCAAAGTCCATACATTCAACATCGAAGCATAATCCCATCGATTTTTAAGGTGCTGACACACGGCGCAACGTTGCATGCAACATTGCACGCAAAAGGACTGTTGCAGCCTGTGTCTACCCCAAACTTGTCGAACGCAACGTTGCATGCAACAAATCTGAAGTTGAATCGCGCTCTACTCTTGCAACATTGCGCGCAACAAATTTCATCATGTGAACATGGCTATAACATTACTTGCAACACTTTGAAATTTCCAGCCAATCAGCTTGCACCAAAATTTATAACTGCTGACCAAATATCTTAACAAAACGGGCTGACACAAGCGATGTTGCGTGATTTTGTTGTAATGTGTGTCAGCCCGATTCAAATTTGTTGCTTGCAATGTTGCACCGTGTGTCAGCACCTTTAGTCAACCGACTGATACGGTTCGAGTTTTTTTGCGTTATTTGCAGTTGATACATATAAAGACGAGAAGAAGAAAAGCAACAACAAACCCAGCGAACAGATTATCTAGAGTCTTCTGTTGTATCTCCAGTTCACTGTGGCTCTCGGTCTTCAATGCGTCGTGATTATGGCGAAGACAGTCGACCATCTTCTTGAGTTCGTTGATCTCCTCTTGTTGAGCATCCAACCTTGAATTTGATTCTTCAAAAGTAATGATTTGGTATACAGTCAATTCAAAAAATGTTGTCGTCGACCAACTCAAGCCTACGCGACTGGACCGAAAGGAACTCTGGGTAGCAATCATTGAAGCCGAGTTGACTAGTTATGCCTGGTTCACAGCACGAACCTTCGTAGGCGAGCGGGAAGAGTTGAAGGAGACGTTTTTTTAATGCCTTCGTATTTTCGGATTTGTGAACTGAATCATAACTACTTTGTTTTTCTTTCCCTCTAAACCCAAAGACATGCAATTGATGGATTGTTTCTCGCCATTATTATCTTATTACTAGCGGGAACAATTAATTCAGAACGAATATTTAACCGCTTCAGTGATTTTTACCCATATTCCTTTCGGTCCAGTCGCGTAGGCTTGAGCCGGTCGACGACAACGTATCCGGAAAGTTTTTGTATCCGCAATTTTTTTTTTTTGCGGATACGGGTTGCGTCCACACGTGTCCGCAAATTTTGTTATCCGTATCCGCAAATTTTACGAAAACGGATACGTGTGGACGGTGAAAACGATTCGAATACGCTTCGTGTGGACGCAAACATTTTCGTATCCGCAAAAAATAATTTGCGGATACAAAAATTTCCGGATACGTGTGGACGGGGCCTTAGATTAGCATTACAATTGCCAACATCTAAATGTCACATATTGGGGATGCACCATTAGGATTAGACGGTCCAATAAAGGCACAGTTTTAATCGCACGTACCTTTGTCTTGCATGATTCTGTCCCAGATAATCTGAATCTTTTCAATAACCGCTTCAATCCTCTGTTCATGGTTTTTAAGTGTTTCTTCATGCTGTCTTATCATCTCCTGTGGGTCTTTGGTGTCTTCCTCGTTTTTTGACTTTTCTTGGAATATCGAGTCAAAAAGTCGACCCAGAGGTGTCTCTCTGGACGCTTCAACATCTGAAACTTAAAGTTATAGAAACGTCATTTTTTGACAGTTTTGGTCAGTAACAAATCGACCTTATGGCGTAGCTGACTCGAAGTTAAAAAACTGCATATACACACTACAAAGCTTTAGATTTTGTTAAAGCGAAAAATCTAAGTATGATGTTGCAGCGGCTGTTATATTGTCATCGCTTATCACCACCGCAAGTACAGCAGTGGCGCAGCTCAACAGGTTCGAACTGAAAGCATGTGAATGCTTGATGCTGCAAAATCATATTATATGATGCGCATAAACTTTTCAGACTCTTTCAAAGGAAGTTTAAACTGCAACATAGTTCTATGCAAGCACATGGTATGGAATGTAGGCTGTTTTAATTTTGAGCTGGTGCAACAAAATCAGTCCATAAGATCCCCGTGACAACACTACACCTTTTGCTGTTCATTAACAGAAAATGTACATTCATTTGTG